AGCTCAAAGACGTTCATTGTTGATCTCCACATGAAACCTGCATTTCTACCGGCTTTGTCGCCAACAGCGCGAACGTGATGCCAGCTGAGGCCCCGACTCAATTAGCATGCAAGCTGTGAGGAGTCTATCTCTCTCTCTCTCACTCACTCTCTCTACGCCGTTTGTGGCATGTGGCGCATTTTATGTGCTAACAATGAGAACGCAACAAGTGCAAGAGATGTCGGCCAAGCAAGAACAAAACAAACAAACAATGGGTGTTCCAGTAAAAAAGCTGTTGTTGAGTATCATGAAATGTACTAATGTATTCAGGAGCGCTTGCAGGTCAAAGCTTTCAACGTCAAATGGGTTGACGAAGATGATCAAGAGATAAATGAGGAGATCAGTTGCAGATCAGCGATATCAATAAATCAGCAATTATGTTCGAACACGTTTTGCTGGCACTTTTTCACTTTTTTCTTATCGCTCCATTAATCATAATAAACTCTCTTAGGTTTCCTTCTGTTTTTTATTTTCTTTTTGCTAAGAATTGATCTTCTGTCTTTGCTATTATGTCATTAGCTGTTCGTTTGTCGGTCTTTATATTTAAGAAAAATTATTTTTTGTTTTTTTTTTCCTGTCTTTTTATGCCTTTTTTATTCTGTCTGCCTATTATTCTCATTAAATGCTTACTTTTGTATTTAAATAGCTTTTTGTGTATTTTTTAAAATATTTATGATAATCTCCCTGCCAGTACCGTTGCTTATGACGACACTGACACACATTTCTTGCGGTAACAATTTGGGTAGAGTTTTGAATACGCCCGCAAACAGGGTGATTCAACGAAAGCGTACTTTCACTTTGAAAAATTTAAATGATTTGTAATAATTGAAGTTTTTTTAACAGTTATTTTGGCTTAATATTTTATTTATTTATTTTCTTTTTGATACAACACCGTTAATGTGCCAACTGAATATATTTTTGAAGATATTAGTTTTCTGACTGTTCCCAGTAAAAGATCAAGGAAAATAATTTTTCTGTGTCTGCAAAGCGAGGTTAAAAAGCTGGTATGTAAGAAGAGAAACACTAAACCGATTTCCCAATAGGTGAGTATGAAGCAGAAATCCTATCAGCCCATTATGAGGAAGTTCAAATACCGATCTACCGCCTGAGGAATAACGAACGTATGGCTTACCGGCTGAGCTATTCATATATGGCAATAAGAATGAGTACTTCAAAGTATATGCCCGAGAAGAGTCCACTCAACATCTTTCATAAGATCTTAAGGAAACTAGCATGTGCAAGATTTAAGCGTAGCGTCAACAAATTATTGAAGCTCATCAGTGAAACATACCATCACTTTTTCGGTTTCAAATACGTCTTGGACAACACGAAAGAGTTTTGCTCCTACGCCGCTATCTCTGACTTTTGTCTCCTCGCATAGCTGACCTTAAGCAACACCTAGAGCTCCGTTAGTATCGAGAAATAAAATATTACGACCTGCAGAGCTGAAGAGAAGAGTTCTGCTTTCTCAAGATTGGAGATTTGTGAACGAGGGCAAGATGAAATATGTCCTGCCACCAAGCAAATTGTCACTATGTTTGCGTCATAAAAATGAAATTTAAGATGATTTCGTTTATATGGGGACTAGGATTAACACCACCAAAAATACCAGACTTGAGGTCGAATTTTAGAATGACATTTGCCAATAGTTACTACTTTAAACAGAATAATCAATTAAGAAGTAAAGCACTATCGCGTTGACTGTAGATGGAACTCTCAAAGCCGTTTGTTATTCCTGTTCTGCTATATGATGGGCCATGTCGACATTCAATGTGTCGGCGCTTGCAGTTTTCGACAGAGAGGTTTTGCGGAATATTAATGGGCCTTTGCGTACGTTTTGCAGTATAAGTCATAGTTTGGTTGTTCTGGATCAAGTGTAAACGTAGTGTATACAGTGCCCGCAGCAGAAAACGAAAGGAGTGGAAAGGCTTTCTGCCCGTTGTAAAGTTCAATTGGACTTCAGACTTCAAAGAGTACAGATACTTTCCTTTCAGCAAAAAGAAGAAACTGCTGGTGAGCCAGTTAAAAGTTTCTATAAACTCGGACGGGACTGAAGGTGAGATGAACCAATTATTGGATTCTTCGATTTGAGTTATGTGACTTTGAAATGGAATGCGGTTTAAGTCCTTGAATGGGTTTTGCTTTCAGAAATTTCATAACGCCATAACACACATTCTAAGACTCTGAAGGAAACAACTGGATAAAAGAAAATGTTGTCAAAAATTTTGGGGAAAGAAATTTACTACTTAGAAAGAAAACTCATCTCATTTACGAGTTTTTGGAATTTTTTTCAATAATGTATTCTACAAAATATAAAAAAACATACAAAAAACTTTTGAACTAATCCAAGCTTTCAATCCGCTATGCTCCAACTATTTATGCCGCCAAAAGAAATTATGTTAGTCTGAAAATTTTTTAGAAGTGAAATTTCTAGCAAGAACCGAATATAGCATAAACGTTTTCAATTGCTTTACGTGATCAGAATTTGGACAAAACACACAAAATGCCACAAATAAATACCTACATACATACATACATATCTACATAGGTACATAAGTATTTTTTCCTTCATTCAATTACTTTTACATACATAGATTATGGACAACTGACTACCGACAGAATATTCGTATAAGCAATAACATACATATGCTCATACTTGTGCTTGTCGTTTGTACTAATTGAAATGAAACTGTCACCGGCGCATTTGCGCATGCGCGTTAGCAACATACCATAAGCGACGTCGCGCACGCCCCACCTTTTCACCGTGCGAATGATAGCTTACATTACAGACAAACCCACACAGGCACATATGTACATATGTGTGTGTATATACGTATGGGTAAGTCAGCACGTTCAGATACATTTGCACAATTGCCATGAGCTGCTGCCGTTCGGCACAGAGGAGTTCAGTTAATGCGCGCGCGAAAGTGTGTCAGAGCCAACAACAGCAGCTAACTAACTGACAAGCTAAAAAGCCAGCAAGTACAACAACAAAATAACAAAAATGAAAATAAAGTAAATAAAAGTCAAATAAGTAAGTAAGCACATAAGTACGTAAATAAAAGCAGAAAAAAGGTAAGAAAAACATATCGCTTTACGTTTAAATAGGAAAAGGAAATTTTTGTATTCATAAGAATGAGCACTATAATGATGGTTATTGTAATCAATGTTACTGTTGTTGATGTCTTAGTTATTGATTTTTAATTTCATTGTAAGTGCTTTTTTGCATTTCTGGATTTGGTTTACGTTTGGTATTTAGGTGACATACCGGAAAGTACTTTAAAAGTCAGCACTGGCGTGCGGAATAAATATGCAGAATAATTTTTTAAATATTTCGAATCTAGATAAGTGTTTGAAATAAAGTTAAAACTAAATTTTTTAATTAAACAATCTCTTAAATGACTATTAAAAATTTTCAAAGGAATTTTAATATAATTGAAAGTTAAATAATTTCATCTGCCATTAAATTAAAAAAGAATAGGAATCGCATATTTTTTACTTTCCTTTATTTTGTTTTTAATTTTATTTTATTTTATATAATTTATTTACTTTTACTTAATTTTATTGAATAATGTTAAGTACTTATTCATTTTATTTCATTATATTTTATTTTTATTCCTCTTTTCAGTTTTATTTAATTTCAGTTTTTTTATGCAATTCTATTTTACTTTAGTTAATAATTATAGTTTTATTCTTATTTTTATATTATTTTTTATTTTAATGGATTTTATTCTGTGTTGCTTTATTTTTTTTCATTATTTTGTCTTCCTTTATTTGTTGGATTTTGATTATTTTAATTTATTTTATTTTGAGTTTTTTAATTTTATTTTATTTAAGGAAATAAGATAAATCTATGCTTTCCTTGATTTTATTTGTTTTCAATTTATTTTATATTATTTAATTTTGTTTTTTCTTTTTGTTATAAATTTTTGCTGTAGTTAATTTTGGAATAAATAAAGTCCAATTTTATTTCTTCTATTTTATTTACTTTAATATTTGAGAATTATTTTGACTATTTCAAATTTATTTTAGGTTATTTTTTTATTTATTTTAATTTAATGTAATTACTTTTTAAAATTTTATTTCATATTATTTTATTTTATTTGATTTGATTTTTAGTTATAATTATAGGTATTATACTGTGATCTATTTTGTTCATTTAATTTTTTATTTTATTTTACTTTAATTATTAACTTATTTTAATATAATTTTAATATAATTTAACTTATTTTTTTAAATGTTATTTAATTTATTTTTATTATGTTTCATTTAATTTAATTCTATTTAACAATTTTTATTATTTAAATTAGTTTTACTTTATTTTAAATTATCAATTTATATTTTTTAATTTTTTGCGTTTTATATATTTTGTATTATTTTACTTCATTTCTAAGCAGAAAAAAATGTACCGTTCAAATAATAGCGTTTCATTATTTTTTTTTAATTATTCTGGAGAAGATTATTTTTTCTGCAATTTTTTGCTCCGCTTGCCTACGGTCTTTGAATTGTTGTATAGAATTTTACTAATAATACGTAGTATAGCTTTTAAATCAGCGTTCATTTTTTTCTCGAAATCAATCCAAACTTTTTCCACGATTTTCAACTCTTGTGTAAAAAAATTTAATAATTTTTTTTTTTAAATATGATATTTCGTTTCTCATACTTTTTTCCAAAAATTCTTTACATTCCTTCACGATTTGCCGTAACAAATTAATTTATTGCCATACACACACACGTAAGCGCATACTTTTGCCACTTTCCACTTGTTATTCTAACGGTATTACGCATATTTCTGCAATCAAGTCATTAACAAGTAAACTGACACTGCTCAGCCAGTCAGTCAGCCAGGAAACCGGAAATTGTTAATCTACATACATCGCTTGCATACACGTTTATGTACATACATACATACATAAGTGTAACACTTAAAATATATAAGTAATTTTTTCGCCTTTATGTACCTCACAAAATTTATTTAAATACACAAAATATCTGGTTTGCCTTTTATTAAAGAATTTTCAACTCCTTTGCACACCAAAAATGGCACTAAATAACTTTTTTTAACCAACTATATGTATTGTGTTAATCACTTTCTATATAATTCAATTTAAATGTGTGGTGAGTGGCGAACATGCCGCAATTGAAATACAAACTTGTCTGCTCCGCCCGATTGCTAAACGCAAACTGAATTGTCCAGCAGCGACAAGTGGACGACCAAGGCCAGAAAACCGTACCAAGTAAACACACGAAGAGATTTCAGTCGAGCCGCTGTCACCAACTCTAACATCATCATTCATTCATCCGCAACAGTAACAGCAGCAGCGACGGCGAACGGGACAACGCTGTAAAAGAATTTCTGCATTATCTATAAAATTGTCTTTCTTCTTTCACATTTGCCGGCCTCAACTACAGCCAAAGCCACAGTAGCAGCCACAGTTAAAGCCAAGGCCACGTTCAAGTCCAAGAGCAGATAGAGAGCGCAACAGCCGATGTTTGTTTGTTTGGAAAAATAATTAACTGTGACAAGAAAGCGACTGAAAACCAATTGGCGACTCTCACCGGTGTTGTGAGGAAGAGACACTTGTTTTGCTTGTGCTGAGCGTAACCGAGTGGACAGTGGAGATTTCTTTTGTTCTCGCACAAGCTCTGACACGCGTGAACAGGTGAAGCTGTGGTCGTTGTGGCCACTTGCCTGCACAAATGTTGTGGCCACAATGAGTTGAGATTAAGTGACTTCATAAATGCATAAATGAGAGTAATCAAAACAAGCATAAATACGACCATACACGGAGAAGAAGTCCCGTAGGAAATTTAACGTAACTTTTAATGATTTTTATACTCTCCCGTTATTTGTGTTGTGATTTTTTGTTTGGATTATACCGTATCGGGATTATAATTTGGTAGACTCGGTATACATATGTATGTATATTATAAGTATTTAAAACCCTAATTATTTATATGATATATGAATTTTATTTTGACCTGTTAAAAGGTAACCCATTATTTTCCCCAAGGGAGTATTTAGATGGCGTTAGGAAATTGATATTTTTTACTATAAAAGGTATTCCCCCGTTACCTTGATCACTTCCCTCAGTAGTGTTTGAGATCATGTCAAAGATCGCACCAGCAAAGAGCAAATAGATTTTATTCTATAATTTTCCTCAGATAAGGCCGAAGACGTAAGTCAGGCAGCTCAGAATATGAATAACTTTATGGCAATGTTACTATAACAGTCAATCAAGCTCAATTTTGATTCCGCCGTCTTCGTTTCAGTAATTTTGATTTAAAAATGCTCCACGATGTGGAAGTCCAATTCCTGAAAATGTCGAATCTGATCGCCAATCAAATACTGTAGCCCCCTCGAAAAGAATTTCCATCTACGAATCGCTGGTGGATCGTGACAAAATAGACATATTTCTGAAGTGGAGGGTAGCTGATGATCGAAAGTCGATCTCTTACAGCAAATTAAAATGAAAACAGACTTCATCGAAGGCAGTGAGCCGGCATGAAGGATCTCCAAGACAAGATTTGGCGGCCAGGAAGGTTTTGTTATTAGTTTGGCGGGTTTGATTTCACTCTGAGCCGCCCCCCCCACGGCGAAACTTTTAATACGAACCTATACTGCTAACAATTGGAGCAATAGTGACTCGCCAGAAGCTCCGGTTGCTTAGTTAGAAGGCTCTTATGCATCCACCATATAGTCCGGATCTCCCACCAAGCGGCTAACATCTATTTCTGTCGATGAGGAATGATTTGGCTTGTAAATGACTGGCCTTAACAGAATCGATTGACGCAATTTTCTGCCAATAGGCACAAAGGTTTCTTTGAGAGAGGATTAATGGCTTTACATTTACGATGGCTTTCTAACTATGGTCAATAAATAAAATGTAATAAAAAATGTAAATGCTGTAAAATAAAATGTATTCGAATGGAGTATGAGCGCAATCGGAAATCAATCGGAAACCGTATTCCTTCTATTGGCTCTACTTACGAAATTGACACCCATAAGATGAACTCATTACATAGAACAACTTCATTGAACCACAAAAATAAATGTTCTCTAATCATTACAAAAGAATTGACGATTTATTGTTATTTTGTCAACATTGAGGCGGATAAAGATGCAAAAAAGAAATGCAACAAATGTTTGCACAACAATGACATAGAACACAGGATGTATTACAGCAAAAGCGTGTGGCCTCAAGAATTGCCAATACCCACCTTTGTACACAAATATCGGCGGTTGTTGACTTAGCGCTGTTCAAGCAAAGATCTGTTGAAGGCCTCTTGTGGTGAGCACGAACCCTTAGCATCCTGTTGGCGAATGTACATATGTTTGTGTGTATGCCAGTGCCAATAAATTTTGCTAATCATCAAAAGGCGCTACATTCATTTTTTTCTTTCTTTCTTTTTGGCAAACGAAGGTGCTGAAATCGATCGAACGCAATCTACTGGTGAGTTGAAGAGTGTGTGCGTGTGTGTGTGTGTGTGTGGCAGGCATTAAAAGATCATTGCAAGCCTACCAGGAGGTGCAAATAAGACATGAAGATTGCAAAATCTGGTTGAGGGGCCACCTCTCTTATGTGTTCATTTGCCGTGAGTTATTGTTTTTTGCTTTGCAATTTTCTTTGGTATGTATGTGTGTGTGTGTGTGTGTGTGTGTATGTGTATGTGAGAAGGCAGATTATGCAAATCGAATTTAAATGCGATTTTAAGTGTTGTTCGCACACAATTTGCATTCGCACTTGGTTTTCCTTAGTTGCGCATATATTTTTTTTTTGATTTTTTTTTTCAAGAAAATATGCAAATTAGTTCAGACTTTAATTTTTTTTGTAAATTTTTATATATAAAAAAAATCTTCCTTTCTTGTTTACGTGCTCATTACAAGATTAAGCGAAATCCTAATGAACTCTTGACATGTTGTAAAACTCTCTCGCTTGAGAATATCAAATATTTGCATAATCGCGAAAATGTGAAAAGTGTTCCCTAATGCTGCGACTACCCATCTTACATACCTGCCATCCATAGCAACCGATCTTATGAGAGCGCCTTGAAAATACAAATTTGTCACCGCTTGCCCATGCCGTTACTGACGGTTGTCCTGCAGAAACCAGCGGCGATTTGATTTTTTCCGCGAACCGGCTCTGCTCATTTCTCGTTGCCAGTGTTGACCTTTTTCAATTAAATGAACTAAGAAAAGAAAAATTCAAAAGATATGAAAACTAAATTCGTAATTAATTATTTATTTCCATATAGATTATGTATATTTGATTGGCGCTTATATTCAAGCATATAAAGTGTGAAATGCTTTGACGAAAATAATAAATTCGTTCAAAAGTGTGCAAACACACTGGCAACTGGCAACACTTCGCCGATGTCAGTAGCGTCGCTCGCTCGTGTATGCATATCGCTCTTCCAGTCGGGTGTTATGGGCGGAAGGTGTGCTAGATGGGTAGTTGCAGCATAAGTGATCTGTTGCATTGTAAGTAGATACATACTCGTATGTACTCGTTGCTGTATCCGCATGCATTTCGCTATCATTTATCATGTTTATCACGCTGTATGTGGAGAACTTCATTAGTTTGTTTTGCATGAGAGCGTGCTTTATGAGCAGCTTAAAGGATTGTCTGCAAAATACTATGCCAATTATAATATTTAAAAATATATTAAGGGTCAACGAAAGCATTTTCCTTTCTCATACATTCCCAATACTTTCAAAAATTCTTAGGAATAGCTTACGCGATTATAGCCGAATCAGCTGTAGCGACCCATTCGTTCCCTTTTTTTTCGCTTTTTAGCGACAGTTGGAAATAATAAGTGAAACCAAGTGGCTCCTCACCTGATCCAGCCAAACAGAGTTGAAGTCTTCTTATTTGGCTGTTTCCAGCAGCGCGGCTTGTACTTCATCGAATACTTTCATATCTGGAATGTTTACATCCATTCGGCCGACATAAACTAGCCAGCGACTGTCTTCATTCGCTGAACTATAACTATCCATAACATTGTATAATTTGTGTAGCTCACCGATGAGGGGACTGGTGAGGGCCTTGTTGAGTTTGGTTTTTATTCGTCGAGTGGTTCTTGAAGTTATGACTGTGACGGAAAAAATGTGACAGTGACGTGTTAGCCGGGTCGCAAGGGCGCTTGCTTGAAGTCAGGAGATATTTCATCTTGTCCTCGTTCTCTTTTCTTTGCCAATCCTGGTGCAGCAGAACTAACGGCGGTAGCATTAAATTGAAAAAAGCAGAAAATAAGCTGCCCCCTTGTCTAAAATTGCGCTTAGTGCCAAACGGCTCGTAGGTCTCGTAAAAAGTAATCCGTTTCCCTCAATAAATTATTGCCATTTCGAAGGCAATGCCTCGTCTTCGTTTGACGTTGTTCACTACTGAGTTAAGGGCTCGAAGGTTCTCCCGTTATTTTTTTTTTGGTGCAAAATATTTTCTAATGCCATCTAGAGTAATGCAATCGCGCTTTTAGGACATGACATACAGATAACTAAAGCCGTCTGTTGCACTATATGAACACATGGGCTTTCAAGAAACCGCTCTTTAACACTTGACAATCTATTCCTCTGCCGTTAGATGCTCGGAAATAGAATATCACTAAGTCTTATACATATTTACATAAAATGGAAATTTTATTTCAAGAACCTCTACTCCTAACGTAAAACAAAAAAAAAAAAAAATTAAAAATTAAGAAACAACATATGCAGCATTTTTCAATTCATCGCTTCGAAAGCAACGAAAAATTCTCAGCATTAATAAAAATATTTATAAAAAATAAAAGTACGGAAAATCACCAGCAAAAAAAAAATGATAAAAAAATTCCAAACTCATCTTCACACGCTTTTCTTACTTTCAAAGCCAGATTTGAATAAATCGCCGTCGCTACGCTGCCGTAAATAACAAAATTCAAGATCCAAGGCAGAATCTTAATAGAAATTAGAAAAAAAAACTAAACTACGGCAAAAAATAAAAGAAAAGAAATACCGAAAGTGGTAAATAAGTGAAAAATCAAATAAAAAATGAGGAAAAAAACGCTCATATTTATCATGCTAAGCGTTTGCCTATTCAAATAGATAAATATGTCTAAGCGAACGGCACAAAGTTACGCAGCGTTTGTCTAGCGCATCTTGGTGCGGCTGCTGCTCATAGCGCCGGTGGTGGTGGTGATTGTCCTTTGCACATACATATGCGCACATATGTGTAAATATGTACAGACAGACATATATGTAAATTTTTTTCGTCCTCAGGCGATTCAATATGCAGATGAGTTTTTTTTACGCTCGCTCTCTCTTCTGTGTATTTCTCTAGACATTCAATGCGTCCTTGCAGCATGTCCTTTCGTCGTGGTTCTTATACTCGCCCGTATATGCATTGTCTGATTTGATTAAACAAAAGGGTTGGGGATGTTGATGATCCTGTTTGCTGTTGCTTGTGTTGATGCTGTTTTTGTTGGCGCATCACGTAAGCATTTTTTTCGGATTTTTTTCCAGGTTTCTCAACTAGAAAAAATGTGAAAACCCTTTCGTTTTTAATTTTTTTATGTTTTAGAATTTTTTTAATCTTTTTATTGTTTTTTTTTTTTTTTTTCTTTTAAATAAGCAAGATATTTGATGCTATTTTTAATTTCACTTTCGCGTGAGAACTTTTCAGCTCGGTTCAGTATTTTGTGTGATTATTTGAATTTTTTCTATAAGAAGAGCCAGTTGAGTGGGGTATAAAATGGAATTTCCTTCTATTTGGCTCGACAATATGTAGATTCGTGTTGTTTGCTAAGCACAGGTATTTTTTTTTTAAACCACTGATTAGATCTTTAAGAACCGAAGACTTCTTATACACCTGCTATGTGAACAATAAGTGGTCTCAGGAGTACAGTATTTCATTCTTGAATCTTCGGAAATTTAATAAGAAGATGAAAAAGTTGCCCTTCCTTAATATTCAAACGGTCGCGTTCGACGGGAGAAGAACATCTTGATGATTTTGGTTTTCACCTTGCTGTTATCCCAATAAAACCATTGAAACTTTATATAGACTTAGTTTTACAAAGCATCAGATATACGTGCGATTGGCTTTTTTGTAATCGATTTTTCTTCTCCAATTTGTAGTATGCGTCTTGATCTTTGACCAACAAATGGATCGGCCCAAAAGCTTATACTAAGCTGTCTTCGAAAGTGAGATAAATTTTTATGAAGAGATTTTCTTATGTAATATCATGTCGGAAATACGATTGGAAGAAGGCTTGACATTCCCTGCCGAGGAGCGACCGTTATCAAAAAAAATATTATTCTATAATTTGGATGTCGCACGTAATCGAATCCTGGCCTTCAAACTGGCAGCACGCAATGTTAATCACTCGGCTATTACTGCTTGGGAAATATTTTTATTCAACTACCAGCGCAGACCCGGCCACATATTGTTGTTGCTTTTATATAAATAACAATGCGAGGCGTACATACCTATTCACCATCTATGCTTACATCCCAATTATAATAAATTCTGTCAATCTGTCGGTGATCTCCTTGTCGTGCCGTAGAGAAAGCATTATTTAAATTTCGTGCAAGTCGAACTTGGCTGCAGGTCCCTGGTTTAGTTCTAGGAAACGGAGATACTCCATTTGAGCATATAATAATATAAGTAAAAAGCCCTTCAAGTAAACCGAGCTATACTTCTTTCGAGTAGTTCGGACCCTTCACTTCACTGTTCTCTTCCCGAAATAATTGTTTCGTTCAAACTTTTCTTTGGAAACATAGAAACAAACTGACAAATTTTCAGTCTCGGAGATCATAGAAAACAAACATAAAAACAAGCGTTTATATATGTATATTGTATATAGAAGATAATTTGGGCCCGGTAGCATAATTATTGAAATAATTTTCTTTTAAGTGAATATATTTATTTTTAGGGCTAAAAAATAGACTCTGATTGTATTTAGGTTCTGAATTTTCTTAATTTACATGCTTCCCTTTCCACAATTATTAAATTTTGTACTTCATCAATCACATTTGATAATTAATTACTAAAAATATTGATTCTACCACCTTTGTTCACAGTTGAATCGAATCTTTGTTCCCATAACCGCGCTTAACCTTGTTCTTGTAAAGATCTTACGATCGACCATTCAATCCTCATAGCTTCATAACCACATACACATCACACGGCGCGTTATTATGCAAATGTGTCTAAACTCTTGGCATTGAACCAGTCACTGTCACCGTCACCGTCAATGTCATCTCAAGGCGATGCCAACTTGAATGGGACATAAAAAATGATGCATTTTCCACCCTAGTGCTGCTCACTGAGAGACCGCAAAGTATATTTTGAAGATTTTACAATAGTATGCAAGTATGGGCAGTTACACACACACACAAATATACATACATACGCTTGTAAATATATGTAATTAAGGGTCAGGAAGTTTTGGAAAATAAGTATGGGCATCTCTGGCAAAGGATAATGACGATGAAAGGATGCAAGCGAGTACGAAATGTAGTTTGGGAGGGAAATGCAAAAAAAGTTGTCAGTTCGTGCTTAGAAAAGGAATTACTGTATAAGAATAAATTAACAAAAGAGATTTTTTGCTTAAAATATATAATATTTTATATATCTTACATTAGTAGTACATAGGTTAGGGAGAGAGCTGAGGCTAGAGATCATCTATCTTCGCTTGAGGCATTCTATCATTATGGGTGCAGAAATAGGTATGAATTCAGAAGCTAACATACAAAAAGGATATAAACAACCCAATACCTATACCGTGAACGTATACCACGTTAACCAAAATTTAGCAAAGTTTGCCTTGGCCACCCTGATATTAACTCCTTTCTGAATTCGCCACGAGTTGAACATTTGGCGTTTACACTTGTAGGCTTAACCCAAGTAAAAATGAAGCATAAACATTCTAATATAGTAAAATTGGGGTGTATTGAGGTGTGATCTTATAGTCTGACATCACCGCCGTTTAAGAAAAAAAAAACGAGTAGGTCCTTGTGGCATATGCCATGATGGCTGTTTAAGGAGCGCAAATTTGGTGACTTCGTCGCCGAATTCTGACATTCAAGAGAAGGACGATGTGACAAGTTGTGCTTGGCGACTTAAAGGTCAGATTGGGCAAAGAAGATATTTTTTGGCAAAACATTGAGACTGAACGACTTCGACGATGCCCGAATATATAATTATTGATTATATTGTGTTACAAAATGTTTCCAGAATTTTCGACGTCCGAACACTCCGAGGACCAGATATCGACTCGAACCGCTATGCTTGTACCAGGGACTGCATTTCAAGCTTCCTTCATACAACTGCAGAAAATTTTAATACCTGACCAAACTATTGTATATCCCAGAGAGGTTATCTTGTGATGGATACCAAGAATATAGTGAATCTGTAGAGAGAACAGGTCTTCGACCGGCTGCAGTTTCTGCTATGGACTGAGTAAGTAATTGAAAGGTAAAGTCGTCTCTCGGTGAATTGAAACCACAACATTTGATGAGTCGGCGTTAGGAGATTTCGAGAGAAAAGCTCTGCGCAACATTTGTTGTCGACTGCGCGTTGAGAACGGCGTATACCGCCGATGAAACGATTAGCTGTACGAGAAGTACAGTGACATTGGCATACATATGTAGTTCAGCGAATGGCGAGACAGTGATTACGCTGGCTAAGTCATGTCGTCCGCATGGATGAAAGAAAGACATTTACTCCGTTGGATGGATTATCAGAGCTACCTGGTTTCAATTTATATTTCCAACTGACACCAAGCAGCGAAAAGAGGAAGCGAATGAAACCATGAAATGAAGAAAAAGAACGAAATTAAATAAATACAATTAACAGTATGATTGACCAAATATAGAGCTCCTAACTTATTGTTATTTGAATATTATTACTTCTTTTCGGATATATGAAAATACTTCATAATTGTTCGTAATATTATTAATTATAGTAATTTTATTTGAATTTGAAAACAAATTTAAAATTTTACCGCTCCCATAATTTTTACCGGCACTGTCGTACGAAATAATTCACCACTGCGCCGAAATACACCTAATTGCAGTTTGGCAGCACTTAACTTTCCATATGGCCGGCAATGGCACTACTAACATCTGTCAGCCTGATAACGTAATTGACTGGGTGAGAAAAAATAAAGCAACAAATAAAAACAATAAATAGACACGTAAGTGGATTAGTGTGTCTACGTTATTTGCATCACGAAATCGGCAAAATATTGGCTAACATAAAATATTTAGCCAATATAAGTTGAATTGCATCTGTTAAATGTGGTTGTGAAAAGCACAAAATAAGATAAATTATATAAAAATAATCATTGCTATAGTTACATTTCTTTCATTTAATAAGTGTGAAAGTGTTAGAGCGAAAACCATAATTCTCTACTCTCTGTTGTTTGCAACAAAACTTTCACTACACCGTTGTTTATGCACAAATAGAAGGGGCAGAGAGAGATTACTTATAATATCTAAATAAAGTCCACGCTATTAGTGTAAGTACACTGCATATAGTGGAAACTAATCTAATAAACGTGCAAAAGTCCCTGAAAAGGTGAGTGGGAACCTTGAGCAATGTCTGCGAAGCATTTGATACGCAATGGTGCGTGGTATTTAGCGCTGACGCTGTGTTTCATATTGTGGATACGTCATTGTAGTGGATATTTTAACACCCCCGATGATTTCGATAAAAGCAAAAATTGTTTTTGTGAGGTAAAGCAAATTAAAATGTTTATTCTTTTAATTAGTGTCGAATAATTATATATGTTTATTCAATATAGCTAAAGGGCTCAATAAACGATTGTAGCTGCACTGTGGACACGGTGGATCACTTCAATAACATCAAAATATATCCACGCTTGAAATCACTGTTGGTGAAAAACTTCTTTCGTTTTTATAAAGTTAATTTAAAAAATTCATGCCCTTTCTGGCCAGATGACAGTAAATGCGCTATGCGTTTTTGCCAGGTGCAAAATTGTGATGAACAACATATACCCAAAGGTCTGATTGAGGAAAACGAAAATACTAATTCAGCAGCCTTCAAGGTAAGAGCGGTGTAGCAGTATTAATAGTCTAAACTATAAGCCAACTCAGCGTTAAAATAGGCTTATCAATATATGTATATGTGCTTAGAATTATACATGAAACAGTGCTTGCCACGTAAACTTATATGATAGTAGCAGCATGTCGTTAGTAATTACTATTTGAAAAAAAAAACCTTATTATCTATATGTATGAATGATTGATAACAAATTTATATAAGTACATGTGTGCTTTTCCAAATAAATATATCAACTATAAAATTTGTTGTCAACTTTAAATAACTTCAGTAATCAATTGAATAACTTATTGATATATTTAAAATTAATTAATTAAATAGCAAATTAATAGTTAATGCGCTATGTGTGAGGGATTTTGCTGTTTATTACTATATAAAAAAAAATTAATAAATTAATGAATAGAAAACAAATAATAATTTCGTTTCAAAATTTAGACTAATACTCTCTTATTCCTTTCCCATACAGTACACCAAAGAAGCTCAATCGTCCTCATGCTCCGAAGCTGAGGATTACAACAGTGTTTTAAGTTATTTGGATACAAGTCTTAGCGATCAGGCTCATCGTGAGTTCGAACGTTGGGCAAAACACGATGAAGCGGAGGAAGATTTTTGTATACTAGAGCATCAGAATAAAGGCTCCCAATATGTGGATCTACTCATCAATCCTGAACGTTATACAGGTTATAGAGGGGAATCTGCGCATCGTATTTGGCGTAGCATTTATATGGAAAATTGTTTTGGGCGTAAAAATGAATCGAAATCACTGTCAGATTTTATACCACATCTTGATTTGAATGACATGTGCTTAGAGCAACGAGCTTTCTATCGCATCATTTCTGGTCTACACAGCAGTATCAATATACATTTATCAGCTAAGTACTTGTTATCGGAATCGAAAGATTTTCTCGATCCACAAGGTATCTGGGGACCAAATGTAGAAGAGTTTAAGCGCCGATTTAGTCCCGAGACGACAAATAATGAAGGTCCTCATTGGTTGCGTAACTTGTATTTTATATATTTGGTCGAACTGCGTGCATTGGCCAAAGCAGCGCCGTATTTGAGGCGGGAGGAGTATTACACGGGCATAGCGGAGGAAGATGAGGAAGTGAAATTGGCCATAAATGATCTACTATCGGTTGTGGAGTGAGTAGCTGTTGCTTTAAGTAAATATTTGATATGTTAAATACGAATTTCATTAACTTTTCTACACAGATCATTTTCCTCGCATTTCAATGAGAATGTGCTATTTTCGAATGGTGTAGCCTCTTTGAAGTTTAAGAATGAGTATAAAGAAAAATTTCGAAACATATCTAGAATAATGGACTGTGTGGGTTGTGATAAATGCAGGCTGTGGGGCAAACTCCAGGTTCGAAATGAAAAAAGAAAAAATGAATTATCTTTGAACACAAATCTATCATTGACATGTTACATTTTACTGTTTATTTATTCAATTGTTTTGTATTTGTGCCTTTCAACAGACACAAGGTCTCGGCACTGCTTTGAAAATTCTGTATTCGGAAAAATTGAATGTGGCGACAGAAAGTGGGTTGTGGGAACGACCGCATATAGAAGAGAATCCAATTTTCAAGCTCACGCGTACGGAAATTGTAGCGCTATTCAATGCATTTGGCAGGTAAAACGTTATGCAATTCAAATAAACTGAAAAATACTACTTTTTTCTGTTACTTACTTATTTCAGACTCTCTACAAGTATTTTTGAGATGGAGAATTTTCGAAAGGTGTTGCGGTAATGGACATGCATACACAAAAATATGTGAACCACTTGCCGTTGGTTAGCAACAACAACAACAACAACAATATCAATGTTTTACAAGTAGTATTTATTTAGCATATATAGTCGATTCTGTAGAGGCACCAACAATGGTTTCCCCTTTTTACCTCGTCCAAACTGAAATTATATTACTAATATAGAAAATTCTTGGTATAGCTAAATTTAAGTTTTTAATTTAAGTAAATTTAATTAATAGAATTGTTATTATTTGTAAAAAGACGAATTTGTTACTTAAATACTTCCCATTAAAAAATAGTGCAATCGTATAATGAAGTTTGAAGAAGAGGAAATATTTATTATAGTAAAACAAAAATAAAAAAAAAGAGAAAAAATAACCAAGATCAACAACAACAATCATTCATTGTGTAAAATAGTATTAGTATTAACTAAAGATTTTGAAATATTTAACTTTTATGTGTGTATGGTGAAATGCTCAAATAATTTATGTAATTTGTATATATGTGTGTAAGGGAGCAATGGTTTTTGAAACGAATTAAACTAAAATTGCTAAAAGATTTTAAATATATTTTTGTATTTATAGTAATATACATATGTATTTGTGTTTTACATACTGCACTTTTTAACGCTGGTAATGGAAGAACTTTATAATACTATTTTTTTTAATTAATTTATGCGTATTTGATTTACTATTTTTTCATTTTAATTATATTTAATTTATTATTTTATTTTATTTTTTTAATATCTATTTATTGTTATTTTTTTTTTTAAATTGAACTTTCTCAAGCCGCGTAAAATATTTTTATTTATTTAATTTTGTGTATGAAAGAAATGAAAAGTACGAAATTTCTCGGATAATTATCTTAAAAAAAGTACAGACATTCACTTTTGTCAGGAAACACTAGGATTTCGGAATAAATTTCGAAGTCGACTGTGTCAAGGTCAGTAATGAAGCACAAATACATTACATTGGGATGCTTTCGTGGATTTATGACCCTAGTGTATGGTGTGGAAAGTCGTATATTAAGTTGTTATGCTTGGGGAGCCTTATACATACGTTATATTCCTACCAGATACACTATACCCGACCAAAGCAAAGATACTGCTACATTTACATTTGTACCTCGCGTTTAAAGAAGACTGCTGTGCTCTTAGCAAGTTGAAGAAAGCATTATTGGTCGTTTACTCACTGCTGTTTGAAGGTCCAGCAGTTTTTCCTCATCCAGTAAGGAAAACCTCTGCATGCCACACGTCAGGCGCTTATATATTACCTTCTCTACTGTCTCCTTATTGAATGACAAGACCTCTTAGGTCAAGGTATGGCAATGCTCCGTTCACTGCTCCGTTCACTGCTCTAGCAAGAATTTGAGGTCTAAACTCTTTAATGTCTCTTATTGGCTCCTAACACCTATTGGACAAAACATTACAAGAGATTTACCTCACTGCTGAGTGGTAATTCTTAGTTACTTCCTGCAAGATCGTTCTCAATAGTCAGTCAGAGAGACCGAATGGAGTAAGCATCGGTTCCGCTTAAGTCGACAAGTACTTAAAGTGTTATTTGAGAAAAATATGTATATATCTTAGAAAGTTGTGTCTTTTCTGCTAAATTAGTCTCCAGTTGGAAGCATTTCTGATTCGTTTGAGTTTCTAAGAGTGTTGCCACAATAACAACGCTAACAATATCCCCTGCTTCAAGATATTGGGTTGATATAGCAACATGAAACTATTGACGTAGAGGACAACACATCGATTTAATAAATGTATGCCGAGTAAGTCACGAGGGTAATTTTTAATCTGTGATAAAATCATAATTGAAGGCAACATTTAAACCGGAAATTCCTTGTAGACAGACAGTTAGTAGTCGTCAGTGAGCAACGATAAGTTTTTTTTCGGATTTTGATTTGAAATTTTTGTCTCTCACACATCATTGGCCGTTTAAAATTATTCAAAAACTGACTTAAAACAGAGCTGAAAAAGAAAATCATTCAAAAAATAAAGATAATTTCACATAAATCAAAAGCGGATAAGGAAAATGGTGCTATTGCATGTTAAACGCGGCGATGAGAATCTTTTTCTCTACGACACCAGTGTCGACGAGAACACCACTGACGTTATAAGAGAGGTAACAGCGATTTATAACGGTCGCTTGAAGGTGTATCGCGTTTGTTCGGAAATCGAGGAACTCATCGAATATGGCACCATGTTGCCACCCGAAATGATTGGCCTGACCGATGAGCAAATCGTCGAATTGAAGTTGAAAGATATCTGGGGTGAGAAGTGTATACCGGCTGGAGGTTTTGTTATGAACAAAGATCCACTGGGTCGACGCAATGGTCAGCAGCCGCAAGAGAAAATGCGTGAGATATTAAAAAAGGCAATGGAAGATGCAAAAAGTTTCATAGACAAGGTAAAAGTGTACAAGTTTTTTTATGCACCAAAGCAAAGTAATATGCATTCCAATTGGTTTAGAAATTAGTGTCGGCTCATCAGCCTTTGAATTTGAAAAATGTCACCGAGGCTTTGAATTTATTACGTGGTGCTGTCACCATAGTTTATCCGATGCAGCTGCCACCACACGATATTATACGTATGGAATTCTGCAATACCGAGGATTTAAGTGGCACACAAGCTTCACGCGAAGTTATCGAAACGGTTAAGGCTCAACTATGGTTTGCTGGCAAACAAATTCTGCCCGATAGGAAGCTACATCACTATGTCGGCAAGAATGACAAGACCAAAGTAAGTTGAGTTGGATTACCTCGGGTATGAGGGCGTTTCGAAAAAAAATATTATTTTATTCGTTTAGGTCGTTGTAAAACTGAATAAGCAAGGTGAAGGTCCACCGAGTCGTGAAGCCGTATTAACGGAGGATATACGTAAACGTATGATGGCCGATGCCTATCGCCGGCAAGAGGAGCTTAAGGTAAGTTTCGAATATATGTTTTTTAAGGGTGAGAGGGTGAAAGTGCTCAAATTATTACGAATCTATAAACTCAGTGAGTTTCTCTGTGGCTTTCATTGAAAGAGGTTCAAAATTGGCACACCCGAAAAAAGTCATAGAAATGGTTTTTGATTGAGGTTCTAAAACGCGGGCATCAAAACCTAGATTTTATGGCTTCTTTTCTGTTTTACCTTGAAAAGCATTACAGTAATTATTTACTTACCCAAGGAAACATGCAGCTGATATTCGGGTTGTCGAAAACCGCATCCCATTAGCAAAACTGCCTTGTTTTTACCGTTCAGCGTTCTCGGTAGAAGTTCTTTACAGGCTTTATAATTGAAATCGTATAATTTTTTAAATTTGTTGTTAATTATGCCTTGAGCTAGATTATCCCATAAACTTATTAGGGAGCCTCCATAAACCACCGTTACTACTTTGTTTACGTGCCTCTAGCGGAGTATTTAACCTAACCCCTTCCCTCCTCCTCAAGCTATGTAATTTACAGTTAGTCACTCCCTTTCTAAATGTGAAAACTTCGAATTCATTTTATTCTGCAGTTTTGTTTTAATTTATTTGATTATATTAAAACTATTTTGAACTAATTTATTTTAGCTAAACATGTAAATATATAAAATTTTTTGAGGTTATAGCAAAAAAAAAATGGTTAAACTACATTGTATATGATAATAAATACAGTATATCCAAAATGCGTTAAGTTAGTTTAGTTTAGTTTATCAGCAGAGATGGTAGTATGTAGTTCAGGATATTTTTGGAAGAGAGATTTTTTTTCGGGTTCAAGGTAATTCCAATTGAAAATCAAATGAAAATACATTTCTTTACTAAAGAGTTGTGATCGGTCTTCCAAGAAGACCTATCGTAAGGAATTGTCTTCGATCAGAATGTGTCATTTGCCTCAGAATTGATAGAATCTTGAGATGCTGGAACACTTTATTTGAAGGTTTTTAATGAAGCTTTTGACGAGATCTGGTCTGTAATACTTAAAAAATTAAAAATACTAGCAGACCCAGCGAACTTCGCCTCGCCTTAATTACATGCCTTCATATTTAATTAGGAGTCATAATAAAATATATGAAGATAGTACAAATCTGAATGTGAATTATTTGAATGAGCTCGATCAGAAAGCAAGAACAAAGAACAAAGATCGTTTGTCAACTCGCGAACGTGTGAAATTCTCATAAAATTACTTAAATTAAACTAAACGATTTCAGATAAATAATAGAGAAAATCTCAAGCGGCCCATACGAGAAATTGTCATAGCGGGTATAGAATTGCTCGGCTTGTACGCACTTAAATGCAAGGAAACGGATACCGAATATGTTCTTCCCAACTAAGCTTCTGCTTAAGTCAACGAATTTTTTAATAGATCAGACCCTGGTCCGCTTCCGGGAGAGAAGTGCAGTCATCCTGTCAATCTAAGCAAAAAGCCACCTATATACCGATTTTCAAATATGTATATCGAACCGTAAATAAGATTTTTTCGAATAGGTCAGCCTCTGGCCCACTTCCAGGAATTTTTTTTCATGAAACCCTTCCTAGGTATGATAGAAACAGTCTGATGAAATTTCAAGTCAATCGGTCGCTTACTTTTAGAGAACACCGGTTTCAAAGGGACATAAGAGAGGTCAGTTGCCGCTCCAATACTCGGATAGAATTGTAGTCTTCCTGTCAATCTTAGCAAAAAGCCGCCTATATACCTATTTTCAAGTAAATCGAACCGTAAATAAGATTTTTTGGAATGCATCAGTCCCAGGTCCTCTTCCCAACTTCACGCAGTTCTAACGAATATACAAAATTTCATCAAAATCGGTCTAGCCGTTTCGGAGGAGTATGGCCTCAATTCGATTTCCGATAATAAAAGAAAATTTGAAAAAACAACATTCTTCTTTTTAATTATATGATCTTGTGTCTGACCGAAACTTATTGTAACAGAAAACCTTTTTTTTGTTAAAGAACAAACAGTTAATTGTTTATGAAAAACGAATTGAAAAAATTTCTTCGATTAGGCACAAGTTTTCTGATTAAATTATATAAATTTGACGGAAATCTATTGAGCGGATTTCGACTTAGAGCGCTCAAGTAAATTCTTGACTTCTAGACCTTAATAAGAGAAATCTGGAGTATCAGATATCATTTTTTGAAATTTTACCGCGGGATCCCTAACGGAGTTATATTGATAATCTCATGGTATACGAGGCTTATAGAGCGACAGGAACAGTTGTGTGAAATCCAGCCATTATTAAAATGAGCTACTAGTTGAGGTTGCTTGATCATGGACACTGTAGAAATAAAAATTCCCCAAGAAAAAATGTCGGGCCGCATAGAGGCAAATGCTTAGTGAAGTAAGTAACTCACTCTTCTACTATGAGTTCCCATGAAGCAGTTCAGCTTATTGAGCTTGTTGTTATCTGATGAAGGCTAATGGAGTAGATTTTGTTTTCTTCTGATCTGTCGTTAGGTTTATGGCATGCTTCGTGGTTTATGGACTACTCAGCATTTCACACCATTAAAAGTTCGATTGCTATTAGCAAAATCTTTCTTGTTACCGACCTTACTGTATGGTTGCGAACTGTTTGCCAGCTGTGACAGTCTGTATTGTATGATAGTAAACTCAATGTCCTTTAAAATAACATCGCCAGATACGTATACGAGGTGTGTTCAAAAAACATCGCGAGTTTTTTCAAAAATTATTTATTTATTCATGAATATCTATTTTGTCCCCTTCAAAGTAATCCCCATTTGACAACGGTTTTTCCAATCTTCGAAGCACTTCAAAAAATCATTTTTTTTATCTTGTTCAGCTCCTCCTTCGATGCCGTCTTTATCTCGTCAATCGTAGCGTAACGTCGTCCTTTCATGGGCCTCGTCAGTTTAGGGAGCGAGAAAAAGTCACAGGGGGCCAGATCTGGGGAATACGGTGGCTGCGGTATCATTGGTGTGTTGTTTTTGGCCAAAAAGTCGAGCACAAGCAACGATGTGTGAGCAGGGGCGTTATCGTGGTGCAAAAGCCGATTTTTGTTCTTCCACAAATCCGGGCGTTTCTGGCGGATTACTTCGCGCATAACTTGCAGATAATATTCCTTATTGACCGTTCTACCCTGTGGCAAGAACTCATGATGCACCATGATGCACCCCTGCAATTAATTTTTTCGTCTGTTGTTGAAGTGCTCGGTCGTCCGGCACGCTGAAGTTAAAGTGCTTAATGTTACTTCACAAAGTTATTAGCTCTCAGGAGCCCAAATATCTTTTAGAACTAGTTTAATTCACTAGGTCTACACATCCAATTAACTTATTTAGCATGAAATACAGTTGCGTGATATCTGAACGTCAGTTCTTTGGCTTTGCTGTTCGTCTACGGAACGTTCTGTCACAAAGGATCAAAAGCATTCGAAGTACGTTGCGCTTTAGACACGTACGCCTACATCACTTTGCATAATCTATTAATTACTAATCTGCACGCTTAGTCTTATATTTTAAATATTGAAAATACTACTTTTTCTGTAATCAAATCCGTAACCCTTAACGTTATTAACATGTTTAGAGAGAAAAGGACAGCTTAAATGATTTAATTAAGATGTTATTATTATGTTTAATTTTAAAACTAAGTTTTAAACTAAGTTCAAGCATTGTAAAATATCTTATGATTGTGTGTTTGAACAAATAAATAAATAAATAAGTAAATAAATAAATATTCGTAAATATATCGGCCTATTCATGAGAGAAACTCGTAGATCTAAATATGAACAAATCTTTTTGTCCCAGTAAAACTGAAAATTCAGCTACAAGAACTTTAAGATTCCCGAATTTGTAAAAGATTTCGGGTGCTAATCAGTATAAATACAGAAAAAAGTTTGCTACTAAGAACAGCTTGTATAACATATATATACATATGTATCTCTTAGTGCCATAAAATTATTTCAGTTTGTGTGTATGTTCTTTTCTTCTTAGAAGTGCTCAGTACTTAGTTTTTTATAAAGTGCGTTTGACAAAAATCCTAATGCATATAAATGGTACACGGGTTCATAATAAATTCAATTCAATTAGTGGTAAATTTAGTTTTGATAAAGAGCCGCACACTTCGCGTTACATACATATACATATAAATATATATTTACACAAACAAAAATTTATACAGATTATTTCTAAACGTGTTGTGGTATTTAAATGTAAATTTTTCTACAATTTTCTTTTCCTTTTTCATTCTAATATAGTTTTTATTCAAGTTTTGATTTCCAATATAAATTCTTATCTTGTTTTTCGTTTTTCCTTTTTTGTTTTTGTTTTTGAAAATTCTCTAGTACATATGTAAATATTTGTAAGTATAAGTTTGAATTCCGAAAAACAGACTGAGTGATTGTTGATTTTTGCTTATTAAGTTTCGCGTTAACATTGGCTTAAATGCACATATACAAAGTAGTATATCTACTAACACACGAGTACACAGTATAATACATTTAACAGCAGCGCATAGCTTGTAATGCCCAAGTTAACGTTTTTTTTTAATGTTTCTTGTTTCGTTTATTTAGTACTCTTGGCGTTTGCTAAGTGAATGTGAATGAAATTTTATATTTCTGTTTTAGTTTTTATTTTTATTTATTAAATATTTTTAGTTCTAGTTACTTGATTACCAAATCTATAGAAACGTGCTTATTTCGTTGCCTAGGGCTGTGCTCACACAGTGACGTACGTACATATATACATATATAAATTTTTACATAAAGTAAATATTTATTTGCTTATGTTAGTTTTAGAAATGCCTCTAAGGTTTATGTTCAACGTGGATTAAGTCCGTTGCTGAAGTTAAATACTAAGTGAACCAAAGAGCGCAGCTGAAGTAGTAGTGGCAAATAGGAATTGAGACCCACTTGCAGAAAATTCAGTGTTAAATTTATAACCTGAGAGTTAAATAAATATCTTTTTTAATCCGTATTTTGTATGGCATTACAAATACTTGAGTCAGCGATAATTAAAATTTAGTGTTTTGGGTAGGCACCCTCTAAATTCTCGAGCAAGTGACCGCCACGGCTGGTTCGAATGAGTTCGAGCAAAGCGAAGGCATTGTCGAATACGAGTACAGCAATTGTGGCCGTTCGGCAGCAACAATGCCACAAATATTCTCTTTCAAAGCTTCAAGCATCTTAGGGCTGTCTGCGTAGACAAGCGGTTATACGGACAAGAAATACTCTAGCGGTGTTAGATTTTACGAGCGTTCATCAAAAGTTTTCTTCCATAAATTATTTGTTTCATCGCCTATATGGCATGCAGCGTCGTCTTGTTGAAGCAAAAGGATGCCATTAATTGTGGCTCTGTAGCGTTGACCGTAACATTATGACCAGCTTAATTTTGGAAGAAATATGAACCAATGATTCTCTCTGCTCCTAGAGTACTCCAAGTAGTGACTTTTTGGGAATATAACGGCTTGTGGATCATCACTCTAAATACGAAAATCGCTGAACAATATTTTCTGGTGAGAATCAACATTCGTGGTCATCTCGTTTTGGGCTCATTCACCGAACGTGCGACACGCTTGATGATCGTTCGGTTTCTTTAAGGCATTATCCGCTAAAAGCATGGTGCGCAATGTTTTGCCTTCACCGAATCATTAATTTGATAATAAAATTGCACGATTTCCAAATTGTCCCGGTGTAGTCGTTATGAAATGGCAAACCAAAATGAGTAGAAGCCAAGTAACGGTTGCTAGGAAGAGCAACTCCAAAAAAGTATTGCCTAATTTTAACCCGGATTAAAAAAATAAATTGCCTTCTTGCAAGTGGACTTTTCTATTTTGATTTCCTCTCTTCTTATTTTGCTATTTTCATTAAAGTCGTTTCTATTTATTTAATCTATATTTTTCTGTTTTTCTTTTTTTTTTTTGTTAGTAAGACACAAAATTTTAGCTCGTTTGTATTTGAAAAGCTATTCAATTTTGTTTTCATAATTTTTCTTAGTTCCCATTGCTGTTTCTTCTCTTCGGTGGTTTTTGTATAAGAAATGCATTTTTTAACAGTATTTATTTGTTTTTATAGTTTTCAATGAAAATTCGTAGTTTTTAGAGAATATTAGCGTAACTTTTTAGTGGCTCATTTTGGGTAAAATCAAGATTAATCAATTTTGAATTTTTGTTTTACAAATCTCTTTTTCTTTAAGGTAACGTCAAAGGCACGTTTAATCTCAAAAAATCAAAATACAGACTAAATTCGTTAAAGGAGTGGATCGTTAGACATATTATTACTGTGAGCAGTGCTGCCAGATAGCTATAATTCTATTGCGTTTTTTTTTTATAGAAATTGATTTTAAAAGCAAAAATTTATCCAACTAAAATGATGTAATGAAAGCAATGAACTACTAAATTTCTTTAAAGTCTCCCTTCCTCAATAATTCCGGCTACTTCGTTCGTTGCCACAAATTGGCTGGGGGCAAGTTACTTCAGAAAAAATAATTAAAAAATTCTGGTAATACTAGCTGAGAGTGCATTGCTTAACTCAAATCAAATGCTCATTTAAAATTTTAGAGATATTGATCATTTTGTGTAACAAAACAAAAAAAATTATAATATTTATATTAGTTATTTTTGGTCACATTTTTGAAAGCGTTTTTTAAATTCAATTGAGAGTATAGACAATTTGAGTAGGAAAAATTTGAAAAAACAAAACATTTTCTTAAAAATACTCAAAAAGAAGTTTGAGTTACTCCAATTCCTGCTCAGATGTAATATTTTCAAGGAAGAGCGAAATTTAAATAGAGAAAAAATCCTAGAAAACTACTAAACCACAATTTGAGTTTGCTTTTTGACATTAAATGTGGAGAGCTTTGAAATAAATTTTTTACATTACTTTTCAAGTTTTCATGCATACTTGTTTTTTTTAATCATGACAAACTTTTATAAACACACCTTAAATCATATGTAAGTATATAAAAAGTCCTAAAGGGGCGATCAGGAAATGCTAGTAAATTTCTTTTAGAATTTATAGTTAGATTTAGGTTAGTCAAAAAGCTATAACTGTTTTTTTTTTTAACATGCTTATAATCTTAAATTATATTGTAGTTATTTAGGTTTATATTTATACAATTTTTTACGAAAAATTCCATAATTCTGTCATAATCATTTTATAAAATAACTACAAAATTCTTATATACTTTCTATATATAGAGTAAGCGTTATGACATTCTACAGAGATCGCAGCTGGCAAACTATATTTTCAAAAATTTTCTATCATTTCTATGAGTAAATCTTATAATCGGTAAAATATTATTTTACTAAATATGGTGTGGAAAAAATATTCAAACAACATAAGTAAAAAGTTTTGATAAATTATTATTTGGATTTTAAAATTTTATAAAAAAGAATCGTAATTTAATCGCTGAGAATTGATTAAAATTCTTTTGATCAAGCTTGAATATTAGTTTGTGATTTTAATTTTTTTTTTTGAAAAATAAAATTATGATAAAGTTCGAAGAAACCCTTAAGCGCAGCACCAGAATCAAATGTGGTTTTGGAGAACATTTCGTACCGAACTTTAGAGGGATTTCCGCGAGCGATGGGCGGGCATATAAGAACTTAGACACAGTTTTGAGGCATGGTGAAAATCGATGATGGTTTCACCAAGTCTAAAGCCACACTGATAAAGTCCATGTAAAGAAGTTGATGGGTGCACCTGATCAGTGCTATGGCGCTAAATTTGAATGGCTCGATCGGCAAGTTATCCCCAGCGCTTTTTGCTTTTTCAAGCGAGCAATTGCTATTCGAACTTCTTCTTCATGACTATGAAATGAAGCAGTAGGCTGAAGAAGTGTTTTCGAAATGAATTCAGTATCGTCTAGGCATAAGTTGCTAGATCCCCTCCCTGGTGCTGCAAGAGTTTGTGCCGCATCTTTTCACATAATTTTCAAGCATAAACTCTGTATTCGGGTCTCTCAAGCTCTTTCCGGCACATTGATCTTGCTTCCCGCTTCAAGTCTGGGTAGCTATCCTACCCCGTACGTGTGTGTAGTCGATCACAACGATGTGTGATAGACAGCATGGTTTTTCTCCACTGCGACTCGACAATCCCAATATATGCTAAAATGCAAAATATCGATTAAATATGATCAGAAAATTGAAAAAAAAACCATAAAATAATGATTAAATTTGTCAAGAAAAAAATCCGAAGCCAAAAATAACGGTAATACTTGATCAAAACACGAACCATGAAATATCAAGTAAATACAAAAAACAAAAACCGAAGTTCCTAATAAAATCAAGCAAAATATCTATAAAATTGTCAATCTAACCTTTCATTAGGTCACCGTAACCGTTAGAGCTTACATATTTTTTTTAAATATACATAAATATAATTAATTTTCTAGAATGATTAACTTTACAATGCATTTTTTTTGTTTCATTTTTACGTTTCTAAATATTTGTTTATTCCTCATTTTTTGTGGTTGTTGTTGTTAAGTTTGCATCTTTCGGGTTTTTTGTTTTGTTTTTATTTTGTCGTATAAGGCAGTCCTTGTATTTTGATGGTGTCTTCGTATAATCAAATGATCGTTAATTACGATGTTAAGCGATGTTTTAAATACAAATGATGTATTTTTTGTTGTTGTTGTTATTGCATGAATTTTGTGTATTTACGAATGCAAGTATGTATAAATATATATATATATATATTTGTGCATATTAGAATTTCCGCTTTTGACTTTTTGTTGACGTTTAAAGTTCGACGAGTGGCTTTTCGGGTGCATCGCATCTGGACGCCTTCTCATCGTCATATGTCCGTTCACTGGTGCCCGATTCGGTGGCGGGGCTGAGTGGTATCAGTGATTTTGTACTGCCGATCATTTCGTGCGTATCGTGGGGTGGTTCTTCCTGAAATTTTAAATGAGAAATTAGTAATAAAAATTCTGCGGTGCGTAGTCCGTGTGCCAAATTGTGTGGCTTGGAAGAGCTACGTTTCCAGTAAAAGGAAATACCTTCAAAACTAGTATTTATGAACATAGTAGAACTCATCAGTTGAAAGAAAGCTATATATAGCAAAGTTTTTCCTTATATTAGGTCAAGTAAAAAGTTCGTTCGGTTTTTATCTAAGAAATGGCGTTATTGCCCCATAGTACTGGTGTTACGTGTCGCATCATGTCTTACAATACGTACTATACGGTACCGAAGACGTGTTTATTCGCGCTAAAAGTTTGTCTTTGACAGATTTTATTGACTCAGTACGTTGTGAGCTCTTGTCAAAGGTGGACACCAGCAAAGAGAAAATTCGCTAGATTTTACAATTTTTCTTGGGTCAAGGCAAAAAAGCAGCCAAAGCGGCTAAAAAAATTAATTTAGTTTATGGGCCCGATATTGTAAACAACTGTGTAGCACAAAAGTGGTTTGTTCGGTTCCGTTCCGGTAATTTCGATGCCAAAGATGCACCAGGTTTTGCTGTGTGTTTGGTGGGATTGGCAAGGAATCATCTATTACGAGCTGCTCCACTATGTCCAAACGCTCAATTCGGTCCTCTATTGCCAAAAAATGGGCCGCTTGAAGGCAGCTCTCATTCAAAAGAGGCCATCTTTGATCAACAGAGGCCTAATTGTGTTTCATCGGGGCAACGCCAGTGCACATACGTCTTTGGTGTCGCGCTTAATGGTGAGAAGTTGGCCTCAAACGACCGCTATAGCCGAGTCGGTCTTGACAAACCCACCGAGTATATTTCCGATTTTAAATAAGAAAAGATTGCAAATGTTCATCAGCCATCTAGATGCGGCTAAAAATAAAATGCAGGTTCCATCATTTGTCGGAGAAACATCAAGACGCCATAAATTGGAGCAGGGGTTCAGCCGAAATTCTTTTTGAGAAACATGGCAGAAAGCTAGCGAGAGAATGAACCATTTAAAGAACTGTTCGCTATCATCTTAGTAGGTGCTTCACAGTAAAGAAATGGTATACTATGCCAGTGATATTTGTCGCAGCTGCAGAGATGTGGTGGAGGAAGAGTTCGTCAAACTTTACCGTCTCTGTTCAGCGCTAAGGTCCACGCGACATAAAGTTCTCGGAAAATACTACTTTGATTACAAGTAACCATATTAGCAAATAGTTTGAGTATATGAGAAGGACTAAGAGTTTGTAGGCTACAAGCTAGCAACTCCATACATATATGACCTCAACTCTGACTGCCCGACCGATACATATAAATTAACACAAGAATGAGGAGCTGTTTATAGATGAATCGAAATCTGCTGGGTCCATCGGCGGTAAAGTTTTCTATAAATTCAAGGATTTAGATCTGTGTGGTGTCTTATGGGCGGAAACTTTTAACAGACACGAAATAATTTTCAATAGAACTCACACTAAATGTCTAACGCCTCATCAGAGATAGAGGTAATCAATCTACAGCAGAGGTTTTGAAAAATGAAAAGAAACAACCACCCTCTACTAATTTTAGTCGGAAAATTTACAACTTCCTGAGGATTCCGAAAATAATGTGATTATTAAAACAAGAGCTCACCTCGATGTTCCTACGCCTTATATCCATATCATCGTCCGTCTCGTAAATTTGCGCATTCGGTTTGCGTTGTTTGCCACGATAGTTATCCTCTAAGTCGGAGTCTTCACCCGAACAAACACAACGCATTTTCGCATCATCGCCAACCTGTTTGTGGAGTTATTAGAATGAATTATTAAAATGGAATACGAGTATTTCTTTTCCGCACATCGAATAATAATAATTTATTGTATGCCATTCCCAAATTACCTTGACCGATTTTGTTATTATGCAAAGTGAAATCGATGAAACCACGAACAAAACAATAGGCACTATCAACGATACCAACAGCTCACGATAGACCTTGTCCAAGTCATAGCGTGCCACCACAAATTCCACAGCAGGATCCTGTTTGTTTAGGATTAATCACACACACACACCCACATATACATACACACACACATAGAAAAAAAAGTTTATTAAATATAAGTAATCAACATAAATAATAATATATACGAGTAAGTTAGTAGTGGATTTCAATGATATGAAATGTGCGTGCCGTCGAGCCAACCAAAGAAGTTCAATTGGCCTACCACACGACTCACACACCTGCTTAAACTCGTTCGCTTGCGCTAATAAACAAACGCTCACCTTGTTGTAGTAACACTGATAGCGTGACTGTGCCGTATTGTTATCGCCATCGTTGCCATAGCGTGCCACAAAATCCTTACATTCACCACGCAGCGTGTTCACGCAGCCCTCCAAATTGATAAATAACTTTTTCCATGTGTAGATTGTCAGATTGGCTTGATTGGGCAGAAAGCGCTGTTCCGGATCGACGGGATGTGTGCTATTCGCATATATGCTCCAGAATTGTGTGAAATTCATGAAGGGTTGTGGCAGTGTGCCCGCCTCCAGTATGGTGCCATTCAGGCAATCTGTCGCGCTGTAGACGAAAAAGAAAAATATTTATTTGATGAAATTAACTTTAGTTCTTGTAAGTTTTGCAAATTACAATATCTTATCGCCTTCTTTCCGCACTGTCGCACAATTGGTCAATAATTGGCCGTCGTCATCCTTCCAAATTTCGGTCGGTTCAATTTTTACGCTATGCTCGCTGCCGCGTGCCTCATTAAAGGCGACTGCTGTGTCACAATCGGCGGTAATGACTGTGTCTTCCTAAAGAGAGTTAGATAAAATGTATGTATGAAAATGAAATGCGTTCTCTAATATTCTTCGCCGATTGCGTCATTATAATCTACGTAACATTTGAGTTATCTTGTGAGACTGTCGCGTTCTTATATTCAACGCTGATACTCGTTTGATATTATATATCTTAAGCCAACTTATCAATATGCCTCCTCCTCTATTCTGTTGGCCACGAGAACATTAATTAATTTTACTTGTCCTAATTATCAATGCCCTCCCAGTTCTCTGAATCTTATGCCTTCCGTACGTAAAATCCCGTTTAAAAAGTCCCTCTCTCTATTTTTCAAAATTTATTTTCCTAAACTCAATATTCATCAAGTAAGCTCAACCTCACAAAATGCGGGCAAAATGTACTTTTTCTCTCTTCTCTTTCGATGACCGGCAGGTTAGTTGGTAGAGAGCTTGAACCTCCCTCCAAGCTCTACCTAAAAGCTTCCGCAAACACTTACATGCATTAACAGCACATTTATCGACGTTGTCGTGATCTTCGTGCAGTAACGATCGCACGTGAAGGGTTTTTTAATCTTCGTACAATGCACACCATGACATTCAAAAAATCCATTCAACTTGGTATTGTCTTTAGCTGAGTTTATCGTTGGACCATCGGGTTTGTGATGGCATAAAAAGAACTCCGACATATTTTTGCAGTGTCCTGTGTGACAAAATTTATTTTTATAAGTATGTTTAAAGAAGTTTTTTAGGCATTAATCGTACTTACCATTCGAACAATTGAAGACACCGCGAATATTATTGCACACGGTACCGTTATTGCAGTTAAACTTATTTAAGCGATTCATATCGATCTGTGGGGGGTAAATGAAAGAGAGATTTTGGTAAAATATGAAAAAATTTTGAAAGAATGATTTAAAAGTTATTTTTCGAATAATAATAATATTAATAATAATAATAATAATTATAATATTGTAATAATAAATTAATGTGAGAATTACGTCGCGTGCACCATAAAGATTTGCGTGTAGCTTTAGAGGAGTACAAATTAAAAAGCTCACATTTGCTGAGACAAAAATTTATGAAGTGGGAAAAATTTTGATTTAAATCTGCCTTAAATAGCAAATAGATCAAAATACTAATTGCCCGCGTGAAAAACAAGAAAGCAACAGGGACCAATGGATTGCTAGCCAAGCTATTCAAATACGGCGCCAAAGAACCGACAATGAATCCGAAAGAAAGAAGGATGGTGGAAAACACGTTCCATTACTCGATTATAACGAGGTTCGAATAACGATTGCCCGCTTCAAGAACAACAAAGCTGCTGGAGCCGATGGCTAACCGGCTGAGTTATTAAGCAGATGAAGTGCTGACAAGGTGAAGTGCATCAGCTTCATTGCAAAATATGGTCAGATGAAAGCATAAAAGATGATTGGAAGCTAGTTGTGCTCTAGCAATCCACAAAAAGGGAGACTCACATTCTGTCCCAATAACCGTGGAATAAGCTTTCTATATGCCGCGCATAAGGTCCAATCGGGCGATTCGTCGACCTTAAAACAGCTTTCGACAGCGCGGAAAGGAACTCCCTATACGTCGCTATGTCTAAATTTGATACAACCATTAGTGTACGCTGATGATATAGACACCATGGCCTCAAAAACTGCGCTGTCATTTCTGCCTTTTCCAGACTGTATAAGGAAGCGAAGCCTCTGGGTCTAGTAATGAACGAGGGCAAGACGTATTATCTCCTGTCATCAAACTAAAAGTCATCGCGTTCGCTGTTCGTCCATAACTTTGGTGTTGTAGACAATTTCGTCTCTCTTGGAACCAGCATTAACACCAATAACAATGCCAGCTCTGAAATCCAAAGCCGAATCATTCTTGCTAACAGTTGTTACTTTCAACTGAGTTGGTAATTGAAAAGTAAAGTCCGGCAGGCGATGGAACGATGAGACGTACGAGTTATACGATCAAAACCGCTATCTAATGTAATTCAGATGGATAAGACCACTTAAGCTTTGAAAGGTTTCGATGTACTACCCGCCGGTAGAAGCAGAGAAAGTGAAAAACCTCTACTATGTTGGAAAGGCCAGGTAGAGAAGGACCTGGCTGTACTTGATCTTTGGCGCAAAACAGCTAAGAGAAGGAATGAGTGGCGCTGTCCTTTCTTTAAAGCATCTTCTCTACTTCTAACTGAATATACAATTTTTGCGGAAGTCGACAAATGAAAAATAAATTGAACAGCAGTAGCAAGACTAAAGCGACTGTTAAAAAGATATCGAAAATATTCAGCTAAAAATATTTTTGTTACTTACTGCTGTTCAATTAATTTTTTCATTAGAATTATGATTTCATTAACAAGCGGAAGTGCACGTGTTTCTAACCCGATTGAAGTGTTAGTTAAGCCTTCCCGTTGATGACGTCAAAAAGTCATCAAAGTCGTTGTACGTAAATATATCACGCTACACGCACTCTCGTTGGGACATGTGCACGTACGAACATACAAGCAAAATATATAACTGAATTTTATTGTACGGAAATAGCCATAGATGACATCGATGAACTCTTGAAAAACACTCTCGGGCACTTGGAAAGGAAATGTCGAAATTGTTGTACACATGTCGGCAACAGCATGTGGCCTACTGCATGCATCTCACTCATTCACATTTGGTTACATATGCACATACATACATGCTTATATAGCCATCACTCGCATCCGCACACTTGATAAGCCCACTCGCATTGCCGAAAAGTTAAAATGATGAAATTGAATTTTGATTCACTTACCATGGCGCAGGATGTATTGGTGATTCTCGTGCAATTATTGAGTTGTATATCGGTACCGTTACGCCGCACCACCGAATGTATTTGTGGGCAAAAGCCACTGGTACGAGTTAAACACCATTCGCCGCATGAGGCCCACGGGCAATTATTTGGCATTTGACGATCGACCGTTTGGCACATGACAGGGTCGAGTTCGAAGCCGGACTTAAATGCTCTGCAATTGAAATGTGAGAGAATTAATAAAAATAAAAGAGTTGTAGAAAAATGTTTTATATTTTAAGAGGTTATACTAGATGGCTGTTGAATAGACCTTTTCGTGCTTTGTAGGGAGCGGGGGCAAGACGGAAATTCTCCTGCCACCAAAAGAAGAAAGAACCTTTGCGCAACGACGAATACCACATATTTTCACAGCTTAGCGAATTAAGAGATAGTGGTTACGCTGGCTAAGCCATCCATAGGGGCGACAATGCTCCGCCGCTGGAAGCAAAGGAAAGCAGCGCCTGACTACGAACGGCTGTTAGATTTTTATGTGGAGACTTTTACTTCAACTACCCAGGGGTGCCCACAATTAGAAATTTGTTGGCCATAATTTGGATGTTAGCCTGGCCAAGAAACAAACTTATGATCCTACATGTGACTGGACACCCAACTACTGTAGCTGCCATAGATAACTGGTTCGAGTTCCGACCACGTTAGGTTAGGATAAGTTCCATATGGCCACTCAACTAAGAATTTTATAGCATCTTCTTTGTAATGTCACGTTCACCAGATGAAAAATGGCCGAACAATTTCTTACAACGCGACCTTACGTGTAAAATCGGCTCAAAAGTTTGCGTCTTAGTATTATAAAATCATGCTTATCATGCAGAAGGTGTGACTAGGTGAGTTAAAGCAGATCTTTAGAACTCTTGGGATCTACCCTGCCAGAACGTGTATCTTCCGACACTAGCACAGCAATAACCGAGTTGCGCTGAGTTCTATTGACCAGGAAATATTCACGTTTTACCATTTGCATTCTGAGGGATTTTGATTTGAATTTCCACTATCGTCAGATCATCGACTTTGCAAAATAAAAAAATTATTATTAATAATTTTGGCCCTTTTATAACCTCTAACGATTTCTAGCCGAGATTCTCCTCCGATTTCCGGGAAGCGTCTTAATGTTTTTCCAAATGGTGGCATCTACAATTTATTTGGCAGAGGTACGCTTGGATGTCTTGACATTCCCTGCAGGGGGGCGACCATATCTATAATTTTGGTTGTTATTGAACCAGCTCTCCAACAAAAAAAATTAAAGAAATGCCGATCATACTACAGCTGAAAAAGCTTTCTTAGTCATCAGAAATCGGTCTACTGGTACACCTTTTTTTCATTAGAAACTTTAAGGTTCGATTGAAAAATATTATAAAAAATCATTTTATTTGCTTCAGTTTTTGATAGAACGCACACGCAATACTGCAACCTTCCAACCATATTTCATATAATTTATTACAATTTTTGTCAATTATTAATGCGCCTAATTGTAGGCCACAAAAATAAATCGTTGCCTACATTTAGGATGACGTTAAGTTCTATTTAGAGAAACATGTCATTAAATATTTTAAATTCCTAAATCTCCTATTAAAAACGGGCATCACCCTTAAAAGATAATTGTATGTCTGTTCATGCACATACACGTACACTCACACACACGCACTCCCACAGGAAACATATAAATATTATTGCAAAAAAATATGAAGTTGCGTACGTGCGCCAACACACGACAACACAACATTCACTGTATGTGTGCGAATGAGGATTTAATGATTACTCACTTGAGTGATGGCGAATAGATGGCTACGCTCAGGTAAACGATGGAGACGCAAGATAACACCATTGTCAATTGACACAGGCATATTGCTCGACAGATGCGCTTATCCTGTTCCGGTATGAGGCGAGGTTTATCTTTGCGGCGACCCATGTGTAGGCTGCTGGGCTGATGTTTGAAGACGTTGAGGCTGATTGAAGGTGGGTTGGATAAGTATTTTGAGGTGGCTTTTTTATTGGTATGCAATTAGACATTTAGTTGATTAGCGCACTTGAATTAAATGCGGCATGCGAACGTGTACATATATACATACATATGTATAAGTGTGTATGTATTTAGTTGGTGGGTTATTTTGCGTCTTCGGCTGCTGATTGTTTTTTTTTCTGCTTTATTTGTATAGAAAATATTTACTTGTCGTTGTTATTGTTATTGTTTGTTGCTGCTGCTACTACAATTTGTTGTGACTCACAGGTGGTCTTTCTCATTGATTTTACGAGTGTAGATAATTCCAGCGCGTTATGCTCGTACTGATATTGCCAGACGTGCTGCTACGTGTTGTTAGTAGGCTTTAAATGATTAAATAACAGTAATATTAATATGAGACACTTTTTTATATCCAATTTTTAATTTTATTTTTTTTTTACTTTTTTAATATTTTTTAAATTACTTTTTATTTAATTATACTTTTTTTTTAATTTTTTAAACTTTGTAAGTTGAATATTAAATATATTGACCGAGTTTTGAGAATTTTCCCAGCCAAGGTTTTTGCCTAAAATTCCCACTGCTTTGCCTTATCTCTGTTTGCTATTTTTCTTGTTGTTTTATAATTTTCTTTTATAACTTGTTGATGTCATTAACCCACACAAGCGCAGCGCAATTAGTCACCATAATTTTTTGTTTAAATTATCTTGAAGCCTTTACATTCACACACACAAACATTTTATTTACATTAAATTAATTTCTTTCTTCTTATCTTTAGTCCTGTGCAAAAAAAAAAAATGCAAACAAAAGAAATGTGAGAAGTTTCGGTCCGTCAGACTCACGCCACTCCCGCGCCGACACACACACCAACCCAATAACGGACTGACTGACTGGGTGCTGCTTGCTTTGTGGCTGGTTTGATGTGCTATATATATAATATATAGGGTTATCCATTTGGTGGTTTTAAGAATACAATAGATAGAATAGAATAGATGTGTGGTGCGCCCTTTGGGCTGGAGGTCAATGTTACTGGACCGTAATGATCGTGTGATAATCGACTCTTTTGGCCTGTGATTAAAGACACGACGTGGACAATATGTGATTTCAACAAAATGGTGCCACCTGCCACACAACACGAGCGAATATGGTTTTCATGCCAAAGAAATTTCTCGGTTGTACAATCACTCGTCAATTGGCCTCCGAAATCGGGGAGAGCTACATGAAATACCGTGCTTATGCGTATAACCCTTCAACTCTTGTCAAGTTCTGGCTGAAGTTGACAAAGCTCGCGGGGTGGTTATTTGTATGATGTAGTATTTCACATAAAATGCCAAGGCTCAAACTTTATAACAAAAAACGAGTTTAATGAAAAAACTTATTTTAAATGAATTTTGTTTACGTTTTTTCTCGAAACCGCAAAATGAATAGCCCGTTAGATTTAAATATGCATTTATATGTAGCTATATTTATATGTGCCTCTGCCTACTCCTGCGTGCGAAAAAATTTGGACTTTGTAAATTTCCGTTTGCCTCTCTTAGCACTTTTTATTACCTGATTTTATGTTTTCCCCTTTTTATTGTAAGCTACACACACACAAATAATTAAATACATATTTGATGACTTTCACTTCACCTATATTTCAACACCGTTATTTGAAATTAACCAATTTTTTATTGTTTTTCAAATACATTATTCATATTTCTCATTTTCATTATACTTTTTATTGCTGCTCCATTTTAATTTTATTTCCCTCGCAAACTCACGAATCCACAAGTATTTGCAACACCAAAAGAATATACAGAGTTTTGTGTATTTCGAGTATTTGTTTGATAGCTTCGGGTTACTCGTTTGCATATATATTTATTTTATTTCTTTCCTTCTCCTCTTTGTATTTGGTCGCGTTTTGTTAACTCTAAGTTCTCTGGCCACGCGTCGTTCTCGCACGCAACCGCTTTCAACGAGTATCCAAGTGAGACTAAACGCGCTTAAGCACTGACTCCACGAAGCAAGTAAGCATTCTAACAGTTATCAGCTGCAGAAGGACATACGATTTTCCCAAAAAAAAAAAAAAAAAACATAAAACATTCGCTCACATCTAAAGCACAGCTCCGCGGTGCACACGAGTGTTCAATGTATTTTGATGCATATCTACTTATTTGAGTGTTTGTTAAAGATTTCTACTGGCTTGTTGTTATTGCTTTAGTTATGCTCTGTTGTTATTGTTGGTTTTGCTTGTATAGCAAAAGCTCCGACCACAAAGCTTCCAGTGTCATTCACATTGCAAACGTTGTCTGTGTAAAAATAGCGACAGGAAGTCAGAGCGAAAGCGAGAGAGAGAGAGAGAGAGAGTTATATTGCGGGTGTTAGGGTGTGTGGGAGTGGATGAATGAGTAAATCAGACATTGTAGAGTTAGTAGCAGAAAAAAGAGTAGTTAGGAATATAAATAAATGTAATAACACTTTATTTGGTTCTCTCTACCCATTGCCGCCGTAACTCAAGACAAGCGCTAGTGTCAGCAACGCCAGCGATGAGTCCCAACAGCGCGCAAACAGTTGGACAAACGCACAGACGAAGTCTAGTTAATTCTTCTTCATTACATCTGAGAGTATCTTTTTCTCCAGGATATATTACTTTTGTTCACCCAATATATTTCAAACAACTCAGCGTAATTAGATGAAGTCAAAAAACTTAATAAAATTATTATACAATAATAATAGAGAGAAAAGAAAAACCAAATTTCATACACTCAATCATTGAGTGGGTTTTTATATATAGCTTCTGGATAAGCAGTTACAGTTACAAGCTTGTACTTGATACCTACTCATTCCTCCTCGACGCCTCCAATAGAGACTTGAAGTTGCCTTGAGTGTGATGCGGCAACAACCTTTGAAGCCTTGGCTAACGATCCGAAAAGAGCGAGCTCTAGTAAAGCCACTCAGAAATATGATGTTTAAGGATTCACTGTGGCCTTATCACAGGAACTGCTCTCCAGAGTTGCGGCCACGCTAATTTAATATGGGATTTGCAGTAAGCAAGAGACTCCGTATCGGAGGACTATCAGAATCCCCTTATTTCGCTGATTTCCGCCTTCGATATGTCCTGAACGCACTCATGAGCGCTGTCCCACTTCGCTTCCCGGCAAAACTATTATGGTAAACTGATGCTGAACAACATCAGTTGGTCCGTGAGAATTGGAAAAGACTTCGCTCGGATTTGATTTACGATCCTGTGGTCTCTTCTATCCAATACTGGAGAGCTGCAGAGCTGAAAAGAGGAGGTATGTAAAACTGCTGGCGCATGCGCGTGATATTGACATCCCAGGTTCCACCTATAGCTTCCATGGTTTTGCTTTCTCCAAACTGGATAGGGAAACAAAAGTAAAAGCGTAATATCTTCTTGGATCAGACATGTAGTCGCCGGTACACTATTCACTATCATAACTATGAAGTTGAAAACACTTCCACTATCAACTTAGAAACTATATTGGCTGTAGGTGCTACTTTGAACTGAGTAGTTGCAGTATTGAATCGCAAAGGCCTCCCATGACGAGCAACGACGATTAAACACTACAAATCGCTTATCATACCTGTTCTGGTATTAACTGCAGAATTGGCTGTATGGAGTAAGGCTTAGAGCAAGATTTACGGTCCTCGGTGAATGGCCTGTAGACCATGGTGCAATGAGTAATACGAGATCTATGAAGATGTTGGCATAGTTCAGCGTACAGAGAGACCGGCTGTGCTGGTTAGGCCATACCATCCGTATGACTTAATAGACGCAACACTCGCTGATGTAAGCAGAGGAAAAAAAAGTCCTCCACTCCGTAACAAAACTAAAGCCTGGCTTCACTTGGCGTCTCCAATTAGACGAAAACCGCAAAGATTTTGCTGTTATCAAAAATTTTAATGAAAGCGGTTTGACGTCTTGTGTCCGCTTAAGTAATTTTCGCCTGAGCTCCTGCTGCAACTTGTGTGGCACCATTTTATGTTCACATAGTAGCACACTGAGGCGATTGCCTTAGAAGTATTCAATTAAACCAGTCTAATGCTAATTTAGCTCTGCCTTACAGATTTCTTGTTTATATTTTATTGTTGTTGTTGTTGTTGTTTTGCCATACTCACAGTTTGCACTCATAAAATAAACATTTCTATTACTTATAACACTATCGGATGCAATAGTCGAGTGGCTAGCAGTGTCTGCTTTCATTCAGAAGGTCAGGTTTCAAGGCCTGACCTGACCATAATCCAAAATAAGAAACTTTTTTTTTCTAATTGTGGTCGCCCTTGGCAGGGAATATCAGCCCCGCCGATCTTATTTTTGACATAAAGATCATAGCTTCGCATAAAAAATCATCGGACAACACAAATTAGAGTAGTAGTTCGGCCAAAAATCGCTGCGGCGGTTGCAAACCGTCAATTATATTATTTACATACAAACATGTCTATATAGAAATTTCATTTTACGATAAAAATGCAGCTGTTGCTTGGACTATCTAGCGCATAGCTGGTTGTTTGAAGCATTTTTCTAGAAAACTGAAATGGTTATTATTTCATATTTTATTTGTCTTTTTTTGTCTTTGCTGTTTTTCTTGTTGTTTTTGTTTTATTTAAATCTTCAGTATTACTATCAACGCAACGCTTTCAATTGAAAGCGCAAATCTCGAAGGTAAAGTCAGCAATGTAAACAATTACACCAGCGTCGGCAAACAAAGGACACACACGCACACACACACTCATGCACATATAGACGAACACTCAAATATATGGCTGGAATGTATATGTATAACCACTCAAATACGTAATTGTTACTGCAGTCTCTGGTCTGTCTCTGGCGATAGTTGCTGAGTGAAGTCATCGTCATCATACATACATACATACATACACACATATATATCCCTTTTAAGGATATTGCATTGGTGCCATGGTGCTCGGTGCGCTGGCTGTGCTCTATTTACTTTTTGTTGGCATAATATGCTGGTTGTTGTTGTTGTTGTTGTTGTTGCTGCTGGTTGTTATAGTTTTTGCCTTTGTTCACCACGCTCCTCGCCGCCGCTGCTGCTACTTGGCGCATACACTTGTAGATTGCCTGTGTGCATTTGTGGGTCACATTAATTTTACAACAACTGCAGCAACAGAAGTTGAAGTGAAAATGAGCCAAGCATTCGTTGCACAAGCAAACAAGCAGAGAAACAGTTAGTTAGTCAGATTGTCAAATAACAAAATGGTTTAGCGTTGCAGATTGTTGGCGATGTTTACGCCATTACATACATACGTGTACATACTATGCATACAAATTTACATGCTATCACTCTGTGTGCGGGTGTGTGTGTGTGTGTTGTGTGGCAGACAATCAGGAAAATAAATTAACAATGTGTCATGTTGAGAGAAGTGAGTTGGCGTCAGTCGTCATCCTTCTTCAGTGGCGGCATTGTCGTCGCTTTACTCAAACCTTTTCGCGCTTTTCACTCAACAGTGACGGATTAAGGACAAATTGCACATTCAATTAAATAATTGCAAAGAGAAGGCGACAGTAACCACTTAACATACAGGGTGTTAATTTGATATTTAGAAGACTATTTTTGCTTCTTTTGCGCCAGTCGTGCTTGAGTCGATCTTGTCAGCGGGATGGAGGAAATTTGGTATGTTTTATCTTTTGGGGGTTTAATGGGGCATAGTCTTTTTTCTGGTTAAGCGGTTACAGTTGCAAGCGTATACTTCATTCCCTCTTTTACCTCCTTAACTCATACCCTATAAACGCGAAGAAGTAGAGAAAAAGATAAGAAAAAACGAGTATATTTTGATGCTCAGCCGACGATCAGATATGACACCGAAGTATGCAATGGTTTGGCTCTCTCTTATTTCTAAGCTCTCCTTTTTTTTACCAAAAATTATTGATATATTTGTTTTACGATCTCCCAACTTCAATGCTACTGTTCACAGCTCATTACTCATTAACCCACAAAAGACTGAACTTGTTCTCTTAACGAGAAAACTAAGCTGATCAAGCACTTCGTTTGTAAGTGACCAGTAGGAAGACTCGTAAGATTTGAGCGAAATGGCTTGTGCAAACTTAAATCATTTACTTCGTTTTGCTAACTCCACACATTGTTTTGACCAGGCTAAATGGGATGCTGAGTAATATCACAACTTACCAACAGTTGCTACTTTAGACTGAGTAGGCAATTGAAATGTAAAGTACTCTCTCGACGAACGAGAACCAAACTCTACAAGTCCCTCATCGTTCCCGTCCTGCAATATGGTGCGAAAGCATGGACGATGACAGCATCTGATGAGACGGCGTTAGGAGTTTTCGAGAGAAAGGTTTTGCGTAGGATTTATGGTATTTTGCACGTTGGCAACGGCGAATACCGCAGACGATGCAACGATGAACTGTACGAGTTATACGGCGACATTGATATAGTTCAGCGAATCAAGAAGCAGCGGCTACGCTGGCTGCCTAGATCATGTGATCCGTATGGCTGCGAATACTCCAGCTTTGAAAGTTTTCGATGCAGTACCTGCCGATGGAAGCAGAGGAAGGGAAGACCTCCACTCCGTTGGAAAGGTAGAGAACTTGGTATTTCCAATTGGTACCACACAGCAAAAAGCAGAAACGAATGGCGCATTATTGTAAATCGGCTATAATCGCTTAAGCGGTGCCTACGCCAGTAAAAGCAAAAAAATGGTATCACAAGGGTGGCCTACTTGTGGTGATGCCCGCCAGCAACTTCAACATAATCTATCCTGACCTATGTTTTATTGCACTCATAGACGCCTTATAACCCTTGAAGCGATTTTAGAGAAAAGATGAGGTGCCTACAGTTTATTCTAAGCAATTTTTAAACGACTGATGGATTTTACACTCGCAGAGCCGGATTGATTGATATTTCCTTCCAAAGTGCGATCGTAATTAGAAAACTAAATTTTCTATTATTTTTTCCTGGAACTGGAACTTAGAACTAGTATGGAACTGGTATA